TGCCATTTTATATAATGGGGCTGATTTTGAGGCAACATTTCTCTAAACCTATCTCCAACATTATTTTCAGTTTGATATAACAGCGAAATCTTTATTCTAAAGACCAATTTGATCTAAATTTCGAATAGATTTAAAATAAAATATTATATTTATTTATGTATTTGTAAAAAAATAACCGAAGCATACTTACATAAAAAAATAACTGCAAGTTAACAACAATGAAGCCACTATGAATATAGTTTATGATAGTCCATAAAACAGTAATTTTGCAAAACTATGAAATTAAAATAATAAGTTAAGATATTATTTCTCAACCATACCAGAGGGAGACTTTGTACAAAAGTCGATTGCTTGGGTACCTCTGTCCCATTTGTGTTTCAACCGTAAAGCAGTTGTGTTTGCATGGCTGTTTTTCGGTTTGAAGGGTGGGATATGGCGTGAATTTACAGGGTACAGAAGAATAACACCTGAGTCCTCAGGAATGGCAACGCATGGGGGGTATCATGGGCGAAACAGTATACTCTATTATGTCCATGGTACTGCTCATGTCTATAGGCGACGGTTACCACTTTCTATCAGGTGGGCCGTCAGCTTGTTTGCCATTCTAAGTTGTATAAAAAAAAATGTCTAAAAAGATAAAATGTAAGATCTCTGTATTCTGTTGGTAATTTATTATATATTTTAACTGGCATGTAGTTACAATTCCTGTTGTACAATGCTAATCTATGTGGAGGTTCCTTTCTCCTTAACAAACACAGTGGTAAAAACTATTAGTAGTCGAATGTATTAAAAATTCGAATTAATTGTTCAATTGAATAATTAGTAGTGAGATTAGTAAAGTCGCGCATTACTATATTCAAACTATATGATTTTCTAAATCTTGTTTTTTTTATGTGTGAAAATGGAATGGTAACCCCGCCTGCGTTAACGGGATACGCTGGCGGAGCACCAGTGAAGGGTGATCGATGAGAATGAAAACAGGCCAGTTAGTCCATCATGATAAATTCATCTGAAATTAACCATGATAGTTTCCATGGGAAACCGCGAGGAGGTCGACCCGGTTGGGTATATTGCTAGCAATGGGATTCTCAGTCTCCAGTACTAACAATCCCTTTCCCCCCAATCTTGTTATTTTTCAACAGACTGCGACCCCCTTTAATGAAAAACGTGACCTCCCCATACATTACCCCCTTCTCCCCCCCCCCCCCGGGTTTAGAAACAACGGATTAAGAGATAGGTTTATAGAAATGGCTCCAATAGAGAGAGAGAGAGAGAGAGTCATGGATGACATAGTCATCTCAGCTTTGCTTAGAAGCGCTGAAGTTCTCTGGTTCCTTTGTAAGTTTTAAGGTGCGACTTTATTTAGTTGATGCCTTTACCGAGAATAACAAAAATACAAATACCCCTATAATTTTTTACTTTTTTTTACATTAACTATCATGTTCCTATATTACCAATATATCTACTAACTAGAATAAGTATAGCTAAAAATTACTTCTGGTGCGAATATCCGATGATGCTTATAAAGTAAAAGGTTTAAAATTCATTAAAATGTTTTGCACAAACACGCATAAAAATTAATGAAGGTATCTGTAGCAAAAATTTGGAAACTCGACCCTCCACCCTATAATTATTACTCCAAAGGAATCCAGCCGTTCAGCCGTTCTTATTATCTTTATTTTCTTTTTTTAATCATAATCAATTGCCATATTGAATAATTAAAAAAATAATAATGAATATTTATATAATATTCCATTCTTATATAGGTACATGTACTTTCTAATAAGAGTATTAATATTTGTAAAAATAAATGGCTGATCGGGTTTGATTTATTTTTATGCATAAATAGACTACCATCATTTCAGCCATTATCTGCTCACTGCTGGACATAGACCTTCATAAGGAACGGTCCTGAGCCACCTGCTGACTGGCCACTGACGTCCTGCAATGAATTTGAAGTCGTCACTCCATCATGTAGGGAATCGTCCTACATTGCGTTTGCCCTACGGTGTTGCCACTTAAGAATGTTTCTTCCCCATCGGTTGTCGGTTCTTCGAGCTATGTGGTCACATAGCCCACATAGCCCATTGCCATTCCAGCTTGATTATCCTTCGGGCTATGTCGATGTACACAAAACGCCATCAAATTGCGAACATTTTTTCATTTCTTTACTTGATTAGTAATGAGAATATTCTAATCTATATAAAATGGTCCTACTGAACTTAGATTAAAAAGAAAATAAAAAAAAATCTACAATATTTACATAGCATACACTTTTATAAGCACAATAAAACAGTCTTATTGCTGAAATCGATCTAAATGACATTACCATACAGTAGACATTTGCACAGCCATACAGAAACCTAGAATCGTATGAATACGAACATAACATCATCTCGCTTTGTACGTAACTATTGAACTGTGAAAGCCACAGTTTAAACTTTGCTCAGTTTTGTGGAATATCTGCAAAATCGAATTCATAATTGTCATTTATTCGTTAAAACAATGTCTGTATACATTATAAAATACAGAGAAACAATATTTCATCACCTGTTTCCATAATACATACCTACACTTTATATTTTACATTATATATGTAAAGTTATTAAGTTTTATACATTGTTATGATATTTGGAGGCATAGATAGGTACCTACTTTTGTTTTTAGTAGTTACTCTATGTATATATATATATATATATATATATATATATATATATATATATATATATATATATATATATATATATATATATATATATATATATATATATACTGCTACAGAGTTTCGCAGAACGGTAACAAATTATGCAGAATTGTATTTTTAATGTTTATAATTAATTGTTACTACAATTATTTTACCATCAATGTATTATTACTATTATATTCTATTTTTGGTTTTTAGTTAATGCATTGGTAAATCTGTAAAGCTCACTTAAATATGTGTACTTATATATATATATATATATATATATATATATATAAAATAAAAAAACTTCTGCTATCTTTTATACATGCATTAGATAACACAAAAGATAGAAATAAAAAAAAATTAATATGGTTATTGCTACAAAATTATTATACAACTGTCTTCTCTGATAAATACTATATCAACACAATTTTGCTAGCCCTAATAGATACAAAAGGTATATACCATGTAGTGTTAATTTAATAATAATAATCTTTATTCAGTATAAATTACTACAATATTATTTAAGCTTCTATGCCTGAACTAGGATGATAATTACGATAGATAGGTAGTCATATAAGACTATGTATAGGTGATATAGCACTTAAGTTATACCTTGACTAAATATTACTTACGAAGAGTATGAAGGAATAGATACAGTGTACTACCTACTTACAGTAAGTTTAAAAGCTTCCTAATTGCGATATTCATAATTAACCTAAGTGTACTCTGAATAAGCTTACGAAGGCACATTATATTTTATATCTATATGCAAAATGTAAATGATTTGTGGCCGCCTTCGAAATAAAGGAGGTTCTTAATTTACTGTAACTGTATTTATTTAATCGATTTTAAAATGAAGTGTTCATTTCTAGTTTACTTTGATAATAATTATCTTTGCTATTTATAAATCGATTACGATATATATATATATATATTAATCTTCTAAAAAGTTTACTCTTGTGGAAATTCTATGCTAATTCTATTTAATTTTGTATAAACGATTTATTTGTTTTTCAAAACTACATTATAAACATTTAAATAGTATTATACAAATACATAAATATATTTGAATAAGTATAATACTAGGAGTAAATTTATATTAGCATAAATTTAACCAAAACTAATATTTAAACTTAAATATACCTTTAAATGTTATAAAGATTACAATTCATTATTTACAAGAGCAAATTTAATAATACTTGAGTAAGTTTTTCTGCAAATAAGGCACACAAATTTGCAATTACATCTAAAAATGCATGATGTTCCTGCTTTGAAAATATTACCAGTGCTCTTCTTTTAACAGCGCATCAATAGATTTTAGCAAACATAACATAGACAAAATAAGTTTGGGAATGTATTTTCTCGCTTTTCTAGAAAAGCGAAGTCGTTACGAAGTTTAAACATCACCATTAAATTTGGAATTCGTGCAGAGAAGCTCTGAACAAGTGAACACTTCGTCGAACTCGCTATATTGGAGTGCAAAGATTTTACCGCAAGCGCATTTAAAGGAAAACCTACACTCTAAAAGCATATTTATACAAACAAGTTAGTATTCTAACATAAGTACAAACTCAATCAAATGCCATGCATAAAAAATTGTAAACTACTCGTCGTCGTCAACGTAATGTAATAAAAAAAGTAACGTCGTAAACGTCGTTATTTTTTTATTACATAACTAAGTACTTAAAATAAAAATATTTTAATTTAGACAAAGTAGTCTATATTGCCTTTGTATTTACTATCTTACTTACTATGTTAATTATAATTATTTCAATATTATAATTGTGAAAGTTTGTAACGGTGGGTGGATGAATAGATAGGTTTTTAAGATACCATTAAAGCTTCCCAACACTATGCATCAATAGACGGTATTATTAATATACGATACATATGTATGTCAATGTCTTTTATTGTAAGACAATTTATGTAATATGTAATAGTTTGAGGATCATCTTAATGTCGAAGCCAAACGGAAACGGGAAGCCAAAACCGAAACCTACTTATTTTTAATATGTCAGCAGAATAAATGACAGCTTTGACAGCTGTCATTAGTTTGATGATAATCGTAACGATATTGATCATTATTATCGATGTTTTTTACTTGTTTTCGCGGTATTTGGTAGTAGATAAAGTCGAAGTTTTTTTTTAATATTATAGTTATACATACGTTTATCTTCTGATTCCTTTAAACTATATTTACAAAAAAAGAGTAATATTATTATATCAGTTGCCTATTGCTAATAGTACAATCTCCGCTTCTATTGAGACTAGATAGCACTGTGTAATATCTCTTCTTTATTTTTCCAAACATTCAGACCTTTCCTTCTTGCCGATCTTGAACATTTCTTACAAGTGTTAAAAAAGAATATGCTGTTCTTATAACCTGGAAGACGCAATGCCTGTAGTTAGTATAAAAAATTAAAGAGTTGTTGTAAACTTGTTAATATTCATAATATTGTTAGGTCTATAGGCAACGATTACCAGTTTTCATGAGGAACTTTAGGGTGGTTCAAATCCAAAAAAAATTTCTATCAATTGTTCCTGCGAATGATTTCTATCTCATCTGATGATATATGATGATGAGAACAACGAAAGTGTCGAGAATTTTTATATAACCTATTCGCTTTAGTTTGAAAAAGTCAAGATTAAGTCTTATAAAACAGACGCATAAAGAGAATAAAAATCAGTTTCCTTATGGTAAATATTTGGACTCGAGCAAAATAATGGAACTATTAGTAACTAATAGCCCTAATACTAGCAATATACTGTCTCAGGTCGACCTTCACTCAATACCATCTAAAACCATTGTACGTATTTCCTAGTGAATTTTTATGACGAGTTAATAAATCTGACACATTCTTCATCCTAACCATATCACTCCTGGGGGGAAAGGGATTGTTAGTAATGGAGACTGAGAATCCCATTGCTAGCAATATACCTAACCAGGTCGACCCCCTCGCGGTTTCGCCTGGAAACTGTCATGGTTAATTCCTGATGAATTTATCATGATGGGCTAACTAGCCTGTTTTCATTCTCATCTATTACCCTTCACTGGTGCCCCGCCAGCGTATCCCGTTAGCGCAGGCGGGGTAACCATACCATTTTCATTTACAAAAATTCCAGTCTCGTGAGACAAATTAAGAATATTTATTAATTATTTTACATTCCCTAAACATTTGACGTTAACGATATTTGTTAACCAATAAGTATGAAGTATTTTACCCAAATAAATGTCGTCAGAGATAGAGGGAACAGTTTCAGCCCTGTTAGTACAATAGGCGTTTTAGCGCGCTCCATAAAAATTTTTAAACTCTTCTTAAACTTTTCAGATCTTGATATCCATTCGCTATCATATGCTGCAACTACTAATTTTTCGCTCTGAAAATTAATTTTAATGTTTAATTTTTATTCCTGTTTGTTATTATTTTAAATTAAAAAGAAACTGTAAGATTAAGCAATACTTGAGTGTATAGTTTATGTTATTAATGTAAATTATTACGTATGACACTTTATTAAGTGTATTATTTAAATTATTATTATGAGGAAATAAACACTGGAAACCCTATTATTTCAAAAAGTTTTATCCAATGTCATGTTCAACACCTGGGTCTTCAGGAAAGGCAACGCATGTGGGGTATCATGGGCGAAACAGTATACTCTGTTATGTCCATAGTACTACTCATGTCTATAGAGGCCGGTTGCCACTTTTCATCAGGTGGGCCGTCAGTTTATTTGCCATTCCAAATTGCATAAAAAAATGGTTTTGGTGTACCATTATTTTATATTGTTATTATGCTAAGTTTTATATTCCTCTGCAAATTTATGTCAAATCGATAGCCCTTGTTAAAATGTGTTCATCTAATTAAGCTACTACAAAATATTGCTTGGGTGACCTTTTTATACGTGAGTTCTGTGATAAAAAATTATCAGAAATTATTTAGTTATGTAGGAGTAAAAGTTTACTGAATTAGGAAATACTTGTGTACTTTTCTTGATAATTATGAGTGTGGAGTCTGTCAATATTTTGTACATACCTCATAAGATACTTGTGTGCCCAGATAACTAGGAATCAAAATTTCACTCAATATCCCCATTACATAAGAAATCATAAACATCCTTGACGCTTTTATTGATGGCTGTAATTAACAATGTTTGAGCAAAATGGCATATAAAAATATAAAATACAGATAATTTAATAAAAGTAAAAAACCCTAAATTTTAAATGTAAATATTTGTAGATACATTGAATGTCAAAATTCCAAAGCGAGTCAAATGACTGGACTAAGAATAAGAATAAGAATAAGAATAATTTATTTGCTCGAAATGTGGTACAAAGGTCTTAAAATGGTAACTGAACTACACATTTCGCCTTATCTAAAGGCATGCAAATTTTGTCTTAGCACATGTTAAGTAAAAGTTTATCAATTATGTATGTCCAAATAATTATTCTAAATACATATTAATTGTTACATTGAATTAGTTAATTATGTCAACATTTAAAAATAGTCGATATTATAGTTATGAAGCATTAAAATTGTACATGTCATATTATTAATATTATTACGTAAAATGCATTCTTAGTCTAATCTGCCATTCAGACTTACAAATTCTTTTATCGTGTAAAAACACTTTTCATTAAGCCAATTTCGTAGTTTTCTTCGGAAAATTTCAAAGGGCATTTCACGAAATGACTGGGGTATCTTATTGTAAATATTTATGCACATCACAAAACAATTTTTATGATAAAGGCTACTCTTACATATAGGCATGTGTAGTTTGGTAGGGTCCCTTTTGATAAATTTATTAATTTCACAAATTTTATTAAATAACTGTGGGTGTTTTTTAACAAAGATTCCAATTTCTAAGATATATAAACTCGTAACTGTTAATATTTTTATATCTTTAAAATAGTTTCTACATGATTCCATAGGCGCTAATCCACAGATAGCTCTAACGCATTTCTTTTGTGAAATGAATACTTTGTTAATCAATGTTGCATTACCCCAAAGTAAGATTCCATATCGCAATATAGATCCAACGTAGCCATGATACGCGGTAAGAGCTGCATTTTTACTGGCTGTATTGCGTAGACGTCTGAGTGCATATACAAATTTATTAATTTTAGTACATAACACATTTATATGGATCTTCCAATTACAATTTTCATCTAACGTAATACCTAGAAATTTTACTACATTATCTTTGGAAATTAATTTGTTTCGATATTTTACTGTTAGGTTCTTATTTGTGGAATTGTAATTAGAAAATTGGACATATTTTGTTTTCTCTGTATTTATACATAGTTGATTTCTATCAAGCCAGTCCGCAATCTGCGTAAGTGTTATATTGATCCTATCATTATAATTAATAGCTGGATCATTATGTGGTACTATTATCGAGACGTCATCCGCAAATAATATACATTGTTCTTGAGTTGTATCAGGTAGGTCATTTACACTTATTAAGAACAGAAGAGGCCCTAAAACGCTTCCCTGAGGGACACCTGTTTTGTTACAAAGGAAAGTGGATCTATATGCTGAGGAATTTAAATTCTTATCAATGCGATTAATTTCTACACACTGATATCGGTCACGTAGATAGCTCTCTACCCATTTTAAGGCTAACCCCCTGATACCAAATAATTCACATTTGTCCTTTAGTACGTCATGATTAATTACATCAAAGGCTTTACTCATGTCTAAGAAAATAGCTGTAACTGGTGTTTTTTTATCTATACAATCTGTGACGGAACTAACTAAAGTGAAAGCTGCCAATGTTGTGGATTTATTTTTCTGAAATCCGTTTTGTGATTGTTTAATCACATCGAATCGGTTAAAAAAATTCGTGAGGCGTTTATGCATGGCTTTTTCAAATACTTTGGACAAGTTTGAGTTTAATGCTATAGGTCGGTAGTTGCCTAGTTCAAGTTTGCTATCTTTTTTATGTAAGGGCTTTATTATAGCTGTTTTTAATCTCTCTGGGAATACACCCTGAGTAAAAGAATTGTTAATAATGTGGGTTAATACAGGTGCAATAATATCTGCACAGGATTTTAAGATAGTGGTTGATATCTCATCAAATCCTATGGACTTTGTATTTTTTAGTGAAGATATGTGTTTAATAGTTTCATTACTACTACAAGGTTCCAGGAATATAGTTTTATCCAATTGGTTTGTGGCGTTTTTATTACTGCGATGTAAGTGAGAATTTTTGGAATTATCAACCACAGAATTAAAAAAATTATTGAAAATATTAGCTATCTTTATTGGGTCTTTTTCTATTTTGCCATGGTTTTGTACAGCTTCAATTTCCTGGTAACCTTTTCCTGTATCGTTTTTGTCTTTAATAATGTCCCAAGATGCCTTACATTTATTTTTGGAGTTACTTATGTAGTGATTGTTAACATGTCTTTTTGAGGTATTTATGCATTTTTTTAATATTTTATCGTAAGTTATAAAGTTTATTTTATTTTTAATAGATTTTTTTTTATATGCCATGTATCTTAGTTTCCTTTTTTGTATACAAGATACTTTAATTCCCTTAGTAAACCATTTTGGACATGATGTGTTAGCATTAACTTTTATGCGTACTGTAGGAAAGCACAAGTCATAAAACATAACAAAAATGTCATGAAATCTATTAAATGACTTATTTGTATCCTTTTCACTAAAGACTTCATACCACGAAAGACTTGACATACATTGTTGAAACTTGGATATATTAATCTTAGAGTAGTCTCTTTTTTTAATATACCAGTAATCAATTTTTTTCTATTTTTTTTCCTGAAAATGTTAATGTCTGTCCTGTGTCATGATCAGATAGCTCCAGTTTATGTACATTGCCTACTGCGTTCTTTATATTACTAAAAATATTGTCGATACATGTATTTTTTCGAGTTGGTTCTTTGATATGAAGCTTAATATTATGATTAAGAAGTATGTCATTTAGTCTCGATGTCGAATTGTTATCTTTTAAAATGTCAATGTTTATATCCCCGGCAATTATTATGTGTTTACTTTTCTTGGTCAGTTTGTGTAGAAGCAATTCAAATTTGTCCAAAAAAATTGATACATTGGAGTTCGGTATTCTATATAAACAGATTATGATGGAGTCCAAAAGAGGAATATTGATACCACAACACTCAAAAGTCTTTTCCTCAGAAAATTCATCACATAAATTTATAGTTTTACACCGTATTGTACTTCGTAACAAGATACATACACCACCACGTTTTTCAGCTTTCCTAGAAAATGAACTCACAACATTAAAGTTTTTGATTTTTATATTAATTTCATCCCCTGCTTTTACGAATGTTTCTGAAAGGCATATAATATCGATGCATGATTTATTTTGCGCTAACTCATTTAAACTCAATTCTAAGTAGCTACTCTTATTAATTAATCCAGCAATGTTTTGGTGTAGTAAGTTTATTTCACAATAATCATAACTATTATTATTGTCGAAAAAAGGGGGTAGTTGGATGACAGATGTCATTAACACAGCGGTTATCTATCGTGTCATGGCCAGATGGTCTTTTTGGGATTTTAGAGAAATAATAAGGAATGGTCCCCTTTACTGGTGGCAATGAATTTATTGTTTGTGATATGTTGTGAGATGTGGGTGTATAGCTGTTCTTTCTTAGATTATCCCGTCGGAAATTATAAGGTATTGTACTCTTTTTTTCTATGTTTCTTTGTATACATCGTTTAGAAATAATTCGTTTTTTACAAGTTATGAATTCCCTGTCATAGTCATTACAGTCAATTGTAAAATTTATTCTTTGACATATTATAGATAGATAATTGATATTAGAATAACAATTTGTTAAGTCAATAAAAGTACAATTATTAAAGTATCGACTAGTATTTTTAAACATATAATTCATTCGACGTTCGTCAAGATATTTATTATACTTAACACTTAATATTAAAATATTTACGTTTTTGAATTTACTTAATGTTGATATTAATTCTATTTGCAACTTCATAGGGTCGCTATCATTTTCACCAAGGCCAAGGATAAGATAGTTATCTGAGGAATCTATGATGGTATTACAATCTTGGAGTATTCTTTCTGAATATGCAAGAGGTTGTGTCACTGAAGTTATTTTGTATTTCTTATATTGAGTATTTCGTCTAGAATAAATTAAACGTGAAGCTAGATTAATACATTGTTGTGCTCCAAATATAAATATCTGTTTATTATTTTGATTGCAAGCGCCCTCATCCAGTGGAATAGTAAACTTAGTTTTATTTTCATTAGGCATTGCCAATGGTTTTTTATGACATATCTGTTGAGTAGTAGACATATGGGTCATAGATAAGACAGAGTTTTGTGTTTTGAGTTTTGTTTTGTTTATAAGTTCTTGATTTATTTCTGTTTGTTCAGTTTTTCCAAGATCCAAATTGATTTGTGTATTAATACACCTTTTTATTTTTGGTGTCATATTAATTTTTTGAGATACTGATGGAGACTTCGTATATATATTTTTTAAATTAATTATAGTATTCTTCTGTTCTTCAGTGACTTTTCGTAGACGATTATTTTCTAATATTAAGTTGTCAATTTCATTGTGAGCAGTTTCAAGGTTGTTTCTCAACAATGTAATTTCGGTCTTAAGATCTTCTATTTCAGTTATGCATACCGTGGACAAATCCGGTAAGCTTTTAGCCAAGTAGTCAGACTGTATTGAAGTAAATGACGTGTCGCCATCTGTTGACATAGATTGGATTCTCCGAATATTTCTAAAAGTTACGTTTTCGTTCCCAGATTCCATACTTTAATATAATCTTTTAGTTTAATGAATAACGTCAAGTAAAACCTCACACAAAATGTGGGGTCTGCCAAGAATCGAACTCACAATCCAATCAATGGCAGGCAGTATTTAGCAAACTGGTCCAATTTCAACTTCAGTAAACTTGTCAAATTTACGATTCCTAGCTGTAATAATGACGTCAATAAGATGTAGCAACCGTTGCGTGAAATTTTGAATTGTACCTCGTTTCATTTATTTTATAAGTACTCTCACTGTGGACTTTTTCACTATTTTATAAATTCACCTCTGTAGCACTTTTTATATTATCACGTATTACGCTTATGTTCTATATGAGATAAAGACTAAGTATTTGTTATATTAAATACACTAAAAGGGTTTATTTTTTTATCACTAATTTCATAGTCACTTTCACTACCCAATTTTTGTTTTTAGATATTTAGGGAATATATGTATTTAATAACGAGATAACATTTATACATAGATATTAGCACTTGTTCTACCTTTCACAACTTTTTTGTATTAGTAAAATTGATTTTTACAATAAATAATAATTAATTTGTATCACGCAGTACAGAGACTTGTTCACATGACAGTGACTAAATGAAATATAAGAATTATAGTGTTACACTGTGCTGTTGTCAAGGATAGCACAGTATAGCTGGAGTCCTTACTCCTGAATTAGATGTTGGGCAGCATCAATCAGATAACGTCACATCCCACAAAATCTTTTTCAAATCAACCGATTTTTTAAACGTTCTCACTTCGCCTACATATATTTTATATTTGTTTGTATGATACACCATATCTTCGTCAATTTGAACCTATTTTAATAATTCTTATGTTTATTCATATGTTCAATCTAAACTTATATTAGATTTGAATTTTTGTTTGTACTGTAAACACTCAAAAAATATTTACCTACTTTAAAAAATGTTTCACTAACAGGAAGCTAGATTATCAATGAATAACATAGACTGTATTTTGTTTTTAAAGAACCATGCTTTGATTAAGCATTGATGGATCGCAAGTTAACAATAATTGCAATATAACGTAAAGTAAATAAAAATTTTGGAATTGTTTGAATCATTGTTTATTACGCACTTTTCCAAAGTTTTGCCGCATAGATTATTGTATATACATATATTATATTTTTATCTATAATTCTGTCTGTAGTGTATATACATGAAGGTAGATAAACTCTCATTATACCGTAGATACGTCAGACATGTCAGTAGCAGTCAGTATCGTGAAACGATGTGCGAGGACAGAGGTTGCACCCTGGAATGTCTATGCATACCTGACTCAGAGATAACAAGCTTTAACAATCCTTACTTTGCCTTTATACCAAAACACTGTTTTTTGTTTTACATTTTTTAACTTAGTAACAAAACCCAAACATGAATAATGATTATTAGCACTTGGTGAAACTTTGTATACATATTTTTATATATATTATTAGAAAGTCTTTGAACAGACTCTTAATGGCGAAACTGGTCAGCTATTTATTATAACACCTTTTTGTAAAAGAGTAAAAGTGTTTTTCTAATAACATCAAAACATGTTTATAAACTTTAACATTTGTTGGAATAGTAGGATAAGGTTTATCATCCGAATATTCTTCACTCTACCGAGAACATTTTTGCATGTACATAATCTAATTTAATACAAATAAAGATCATCATGTCCCTTAGACTACATTACATTATACTCGTAAATATTGACAAACTGATTAAACTTTACAATGATTATAACATAACTATCAGTGTTATAAAAACTATCTCACCAATAATAGTCCATATAATGTCACACATATAATCACGGATCCCATTCCAAATTGTACAAATAAGACTACATCCGATATATCTTGAATGCTCTTACAATATCTGTAAAATATAAAGTAGTATAAATTACAAACTCTAAAGCGAGATTAGAAGCCATTCGTTTCTTTATTTATACCATTTACCAGAGGGAGACTTTGTACAAAAGTCGATTGCTTGGGTACCTCTGTCCCATTCGTGTTTCAACCGTGAAGCAGCTGTGTTTGCATGGCTGTGTTTCAGTTTGAAGGGTGGGATATGACGTGAATTTACTGGGTACAGAGGAATAACACCTGAGTCCTCAGGAATGGCAAAGCATGGGGGGTATCATGGGTGAAACAGTATACTCTGTTACGTCCATGGTACTGCTCATGTCTATAGGCGACAGTTACCACTTTCAATCAGGTGGACCGTCAGCTTGCTTGCCATTCTAAGTTGTATAAAAAAAAAACACCATCATCATTTCAGCCGTTACCTGTCCACTGCTGAACATGGGCCTCCCTCTATGTGGAACTTTACCAGTAATTGCCACGCTTGGCAGGAGGGTTGGCAACTACAGTTAGGTTTTGACGATGTTTTAAAAAGAACGCTGTTGCCTATCTCTCGATCATTAAATTCCCTTAATCAGCTCTTACGATATCCACGGGAAAAAAAGAGCGGCTCATTCTTTGCCGGGACTACAATGCAGCTATTTACATATTTGCTGGGATTGCTGGGAATTAGACACAAGATATTATATTAATTATAAAGTAGAAAAATTAATGTAAATTATAAATGTATTACAATTAAAAAATATTTGAGTAGTAAAAATGACATATGGTGTGAAATGTAAATCATTAGCATTCTTTTAACGAAGTATTCTATTAATAAATCTAAACATTTTTCCTAAAGAAATATATTTTAACATACAACAGAATAAATTTAGGCCTCCTATAATAGGGCATATCCAGATTCAAATTAGTGTGTAGCATAAGTAGAGGTTTCTATCTCTAACTATTTATCATTTTTTATGCACATTTCTTTGGTAAAACATTCAGTTTCCTACCTTAATAATGTCTAAAGGGATTGTTCCGAAAACGTCTTCTAAAAACGCATTGCTTCTACATAGAAGTATTCTATTTATACAAAAATTCCGAGAATAGTCAATATCAAATTACATGGCTCTAGACGAACGAAGTCTATGCACCTTGCATTGACTTCGTTCTATTAAACGATTTTTTCTTTAATTCATGAAGCTTTAAATCTCATCCAGTAATATCATTATAAAATTATTTAAAAAGAAATACCTTAAAATGATGTCATAATGTCGCAAGCATGCATTCAGTTTCGAGATTTGTGCGTTTTCCAGTTCTTTTCTATCCTCTCTGGAGCTAGTGTTCCCTTTCAAGTTTGTTAGTTTATAATTAAGTACTTTCATTTGACTAATTGCTATTAACATTAATCCAGCAAGAAATGAATCTATATTCACATTGTACATCATGTGGCCGTACTTTGCGGTTGATTGATAAATATGCAAATATTTAAAATACTTATCTCGGAATTCGTCGGCGAGAAAATAATATTTACAAATAGGTAGTTCCAGTTTTCTGTTCCAAATAAGACTCGCTATTAATGGTAAAATTACTAAAGATAAAAATCCAAAGTTACCTAAAAGCGTCAATGTTATCCAACCCCTTTTGTAAATTAAATTGTCTTTTTTAATAATACCCTTAGTGTCAGAATTATCGCCTTTAAATTCATTGCAGTTTATCAATTCAAAAATTGCTATAATCTTGTTTCGATACACAAATATCATCAAAATTTTAGCTGCTACAGTTACTTCAGTAAAGTAAAACAGCATTTCTGGAATGAGCAACTCAACTTTTTTTGGTGTGTAGATCAAGTTTAGTGACAGTAAAATGTTGTAAATAATGAAATTGATTATAAGATAAACGAAGGAAAAGTATTTGTAATATTTGTATGGTATGTTCCCGGGCCATAGAGCGAAGACTTTCCAAAAAAATGTATTAACGTTGAAAATATCCGACTGTTTCGTTGACATCTTGAAAATACATATTAATTTAGGCAAACGCTCCTATTTATTGTATTTGTTTAATAAATAATGCAACAATAAGCTGTTTATTATAATGTGTCAGGTAAGAATAAATTAAAATCTAGTTTCAATACACCATACATTATAAAACGTTTTCATTTTAATAATTCATGTAGTAATAACGTGTTTTTACCTAGGAATATGAATAATATAAGTAAATAAAATAAGTTTCTATTGCTGTTTACAATCTTCATCTTCAGTCATCTTCCCAATGTTTGTTTGTTTCATTTGTCGACCTTTACTTCTTTTGTTATTTCTGGTGTACCATTCTGATATTATTCTAGTCCATTTCTCATTTTTCTCTCTCAGTCTATTTTCATTTAAGCGTTTTGTATACATTATTCACATCTATAAATTTGGTTGCATTTTTAATTTTCTAACTTCGATTAGTATAGAACTTCGAACTTCGTATCGAACTTTATACTTCGTATAGTATCAACTTAAAAATAGTAGCATAATCGCATAATACAATCACAAAAATTCAGACTAATCGAGAACTTTGCAAGCGTTCAAAGGCTACGTAAGTCAAGTGAGCCGTATGCTTGTTTTCCACCTCCTGTTTAAGTGGTGGTACGTGCTGATATCTTTAACAGATCGTTAGAAGGTCAATTTTATATAAACAAGCTTGAATTATTCGATTTTATTTGCGTATAGTTATAAAAATATAAATTTAGATAAAAGCCGTTGCGTTGATCCACTTGAAATTTTTGAAAGTCGTCCGTTGACACATACACCAATTTTTTTTTTTGTTTGTTCCCTTTTTGTAACGAGATGACCAATCCTGGGGCACATCCGGTGTTGCTATCATTTGTTTCTTACTGTACGCAATAAGTAGTATAAAAAAACTTTCTCCTTTTGGATGGTATTTTAAGCACCTTACAAAAACGAATTGGTTCCTAATTCAGCAATATAATAACTTAGTTTGTTATTGTATGTACATGTAATTATTTCGGTATATAGTTACAATCTTAAATCATTAATATTTCAGGTATTTTATTTAGAAAACAAGCCGCTCCATGAAATTTCATTCTTCCGTTAAGTTAATGCAATGAAACTAAAATATAGATATTCCTGTAAAGACAGAAAGGCAGGATGTAACAGAATGGAAGAGAAATATTTGAACTTTATTCGTTCAGTATATTTTCTCGGTCTGATTTTAATCAAGCACAGCTGATAGATTGTAACAGAGTTAAATATAACTCACTCAGAGATACATACATAGTTTTATTTGTTCGTACATTTTCTACAACTTTAGACGCCTTTATTTCTTTAAACATTCTGGAACCTCGAAGTTATTAACCTACTTTTAATATGTAAGAGGTCTGCTGTAGTTGTTTTTTTGTGTCCATTCTATTTTTCTTTTTTAATTTAAAATAGTTTACTTTCATTATGATTTCATACTAATTATAATTGTTGTCCATGATACTGTCCTGACATGGACATTGTCATAGGGGATGGTCGTCACTTTCCATCAGGCGGGCCGTTATCTTATTTGCCGTTCTAAATTGCATAAACAAAAAATATAGTTAAAATTAAATTAAATTTTATAAAAGAAATATTCAAAGCCTTTATTGTGATTGCCACGATGCTGTTTATAATAATAGGCGACGGTTATCACTTGTAATCAGCTTGTTTGCCATTTCAAAATACATAAAAAAATATTATTACTGTTATGACTTTCGATTAAGTGCCTTATAATCTTTCTTGTACTTACGAACAAGTAGCACAGTAATAAGAGAACAAAAAGTGTCTATAATTTTATAGTTGTGAAGGTATAACTAACTTTTCATTACAAGCTTTTTTGATTGATTTAGAAAAAGACCAGAGGGAGACTTTGTACAAAAGTCGATTGCTTGGGTACCTCTGTCCCATTCGTGCTTCTACCGTGAAGCAGTTGTGTTTGCATGACTGTTTCGGTTTAAAGGGTAGGATATGGCGTGAATTTACAGAGTACAGAGGAATAACATCTTAGTCCTCAGGAATGGCAACGCATGGGGGGTATCAAAAAAAAGTTGTATAAAAAAAACAGATATAATCCTTGGTTGTCACGTAGTTATAACTTACTAGTGGTCACTCCGTGGTCGAAATTTAACCATAACATATATTGTAATAAATTGATTTATTACGATTATGTTTGAGATTCAGTAAGACTATAGACAAATAATATTTAAGACTAAACAATATTAATCTATAGTAGTCTCAATTTAACCACAGACTTTAACAATAAATAAAAGAGTATAATATATATGCGTGTGTTTATCAAATACATAAAAGTGTATATAATTTTCTTTTTTATTGTTTTAACGTATTTTTAACAAAGTTTTTACTTCATACATAAAATATGGCACCATTTATTTACAACAAAATATTAATTTAGTTATTAAAAAGAATAATTCAATTTTAGGAATTATACAATAGGAATTAAAAGGGAATAAAAATTCATAACCAAGCAAACAATTCAGAACTCGAGCTCAAATTGAGTTTGATTGGTGTTTTCATTGCGCATTCAGTTAATTGAAAGTATCCGGCAATGTATCAAGAGTTCCTCAATATTAATTAAAAATCTGTGAAACAACACTTTTCACGATATGTTATGCTGGCTACGCCTAGTAAAATTTTTTCCACCCGTTAACATTCAAACTTTATAATTTAGATGTGTAATTAATAAATAGTCTAGTAAAACTCTTATAGCGAAATGCAATGAATATGCGTGTCAACTCGCACTCACATGCTACCACGTAATCATCGTAGATACTCATCCAAAAAAAGATTTCCGGATATATATACATAAATTCGTGTGTGCGTGTATAGATACTGTAAAAAAACATAAATTTTAAAAATATAATTATTTTTTTGTGGAACATACGTATTCTGACACTTCCTTATGGTTGACTGGAAGAGAATGCTTTTAGCATTAAGTCCGCCATGTACACATATTTGTACTAATGAATAAATAAATAAACATACCACAAAAAAAATCGAAATTGCTGAACAAATCTTGATAGTTTCTTCATCGTTATATATATATATATATAATTTGTAAGGACATACTTCCAGATTAGTCTTACAGGAACCATCCATAGATTTTTAGTGCTATGTTTAGCCAACAGACGGAGTTGTTAAAAATTTTGATTGCAATACGATAGTTCTTATATGGAAAAAATCCTAGTACTATGATTTAAAATTTTTTTTCTCTCTTGTGCAGTACCGTTTAACACGTTCGTAATGATTTTATTTCTCTTGGTGTTTCGATCTATTTTTAAAGCAACGACAAGCATACAATATATTCAAATATTTTTTTTTATCTTAAGAAAACAAAAACTTCACTTTCTATATATACATACCTGTTTTCATTACTGCCGCCGTGTATTTAAAATATGTGTAAACAACGCGAAAGCTTATAATTAACAAAAAAACCTTTCTAGAGACATTTTATATACGGAACCATCGGTGAGTAAATTCAACTTACACTTGACCGGGATTTTTATTTATAATAGTATTGATGTCGTATATAGTTTAAAAAACCACATCTTTTCGTTTCTCTTCGCACCGCTCTCCTCTTTTGCAATCTTCGTCACCATTATACGTCTATTGTGTCCGTACTTCAAGAACCAGTTCAAGTTATCGTCATCGCATCATCATCGCCTCGTTCTTCGTTGACTAACCTTCCGTAATCGGAAGAAAAGGGATTGTTTGTAATGGAGTCTAATTGACCCATTGATAGCAATAAACCCTATCAGGTCGACCTCCACGCGGTTACCCCTGGAAACCGTCGTAGTTAATTCTAGTGGAATTCGTTACGATGAGCTAACTGGCCTGCCTTTTCATCTTCACCTGTCATCCCTCACTGGTGCCCCGCCAGTGTATCCCGATAGCGCAGGCGGGGTTACCACTCCATTATCACTCTTTAAAAAAAACCGTCCGTAATCCCAACTGAATCGATGTATTGTGTCATATCACTGGCGTACGCAGTGTTACCATGCTAAAGAGAATAAGTTTACATCGTTACATACCGTGTCTTCCTTCACGCTTTCTGTCTCTCGAAAGTAGCAGTCGCGCACAAAAAGGATTAAAAAGTTATCCACAAAAATAATACTATTCGTTGGTAAATACAGTTAATGTCTATCTCTGGCCGTTTAGTAAACTCTATGCAGACAATCACGTCGAAGAATTATTGATTATCTTTTACGGTGTGTAAATATATTTTTACGCGGTAAAAAGTAGCTATGTCAGCGTTTATTTTGTCGCGTGAAAAAAGAAGATATGAATTATAGATAGAGTATCAAGATAAAACATACACCTGACTTTAATTTAATACATAACTGTGGAAACCATATTTAATTTCATTTAATAGCTTTTTCATTACATCAGAATAAACATACAAAATACAAAAATAAACATACCGACACCTAAACAAAAATTTTAAATAAAACAAACAAAAATAGACCTTCAAAAAAACTGTAAAAATCGCATCCAATTTGGTGCAGTAGTTTTTGTGTAATGCTCGAACGAGCATACAGACAGACAAACAAAAATCCTAAAAGTGTTCTTATTTATGTAGATTATACAACGTTTATATTAAATTTTATACATATAATATTTTGAGGCGTCTATTTTGCTTTTTTGGTTGTTACTGTGTCAGAAATGTTTTTAGGTATAGGTAAGTACAAGGTCTAAAAGACTGAACGCTTCGAATATAATTTCTTCAGGGTAGATATTTCACGAGATTTCAAAATAGTTTATCTATAAGCAAAAATATAAAAATTGTTTCTATCTCTTATAAATTTATTAATATAAAAGATACAAATAAGAAAGACGTTAATGTGTTTATTGCCAGGAAAAATATGGTACAACTGTCTTCTCTGATAAATACTGTATCTACTAGTGAATTTTAAAGCAATATTATTTTGCTCATCTTAATAAAAATAAAATAATAAAGGTTTACATATACTATATAGTGTTAGTTTAACATTAATAGGCTTTATTCAGTATTAATTGCTACAATATTACGTATACAATATACCGAACTAGGAATAGCATAGTGAAGTAACGATGATTATAATAAATAGGTAGTCATATAAGACTATATGTAGGTATTATAACACTTAGATTGTACCTTAAGTAAATATTACTTACAGAGAATATGAAGGAATAGATACAGCGTACTATACATACTTACAGCGTCAAGTTTAAAAGCTTCTTAATTGCAATGTTCCTAATTAACTAAGTGTACAATGTATGAGCTTACGAACGTGTATTATATTTTATATCTATATGCAAAATGTAAATGATTTATAGCCACCTTCGAAGGGGAAGGAGTTTCATAATTCATCTGTATTTATTTAATCGATTTTATAATGAAGTGTTCACTTCGAGTTTACTTTGATAAGAATTATCTTTGCTAATGTGATGATTAATCTGTTAACCTTCGAAAGAGTTTACTCTCGTGTTGATTCTATGCTAATTTTGTTTAATTTTATACAATTGATTTGTTTTTTTTTTTTTCTCAATAACATTATTATACATATAACAAATACTATAAATATAATAATATGACGATTTTTTAAATGTCATAAAAATATACATAATTCATTATTTACGGGAGCTAATTTAATAAAAACACGAATAGTTTTTATTACACCAACATTTGCATGATCTGTTCTTGCTATGTAAATTTTTCCCTTTTTTTTACGCGAATAATTTTTTTGAAAATAATATATATCAGTCAAGATAAGTTCAGAAATATATTTTTCCACTCTACTAGAAAAGCAAAGTCACTAAGTTAGTAAGTTACTAAGTTTAAATATGACTGTAAAATTTAATTATTTAGGAAAACCTAATCTCTAAAATCATATATACCCAAAGATATATTATATACATACATACGAGTACTAACTCAATGAAATTCCATATATATATATAATTTTTGTTAGTATATAAAAATTATATATATATGTATTTTATATAATTTATATGTATTTAAAAAAGTAAAGTACTAATATTTTTCTATGTAATGCCCACATAATACTTGTTTAGGACTGGACAGCGCCGTGTAATGTCCAATAGATTTTCTTCGTTATTTTACAAAAAACATTTAGATTTTTCCTTCTTGCCGATCTTGAACATTTCTTACAAGTGTTAAAAAGGAATATGCTGTTTTTGTAACCTGAAAAAGTAATGCCTGTCATTAGTATAAAAATAAAACTGTAGAATATTAACGAATTGCTTTTTCTAAGTACTGAAGCTACTATCTTATTGATGATATCCTACTTGTGTTTGCTGTGAAGATGAACATCACAGTGTATTCTGTATTATAAATAGGAGTGGGTAATATATAGCAATATCTATATATAGTAGCTATAATAGCCATAACGGATATATACAATATCGGTTATCCAATTTCGAAATGTAGTAGCCGATCAAAACTAATATGGATGTCTGACCTGTGTGGATAATAACGAAATAGTTGATGTCCAGAAGAATCCAATATGTATTTAGACATCAGAGCGGTATTTATATTATCTATGTCCAATAGTAATTATCGCCTATATACGAAAAGTATCAGATATCTATGACTCCTCATGTCAATAAGCTACGATTACTACTTTTCATCAAGCGGACCGTTAGCTTGTTTGCCATTCTGTGTAGTATAAAAAAAGCTTTTTTTTTATTAATTTTAGCATGATTACCCATTTTTTCTTTGAAATGATACACAATAATCGATTTCTCTCAATCACACCTGATGGTAAATGATAACGAGGTTGATTGTAGACTTTGAGAATTTATTTATAACCACTTTTGCTTTTCTAAAAGGTCTTCTAAGATCTTGATTAAATCTGGTAAAACAGATGCAAAAAAAAACTCAATTGCCTTATTATAAAATACTAAACTCGAACGGGGTCAAAAATTTGTTAATAACGAGAACTAGCAATCTCGTTGCTAGCAACATACTATATCGGATCAACCTCCATGCGATCCGCTCGAAAATTATTGTGGTTAACTCCTGGTGAACCTTCACGACGAATTAACTAACCCAACTTTATCCTCATCTACTATTCCTTACTAAAACGCTGCCAGCGCAAAAATAGTGCAGATGGAATTACCGCTATTCCTTACTAATACGCTATCAGCGTAAAAATAGTGCAAATGAGACTACCACCATTCCTTAGTGATACGCTGCCAGCGTAAAAATAGTGCAGATGAGATTACCACTGTTCCTTACTGATACGTCGTCAGCGTAAAAATAATGCAGATAAGATTACCACTGTTCTTTAGTGATACGATACCAGCGTAAAAATAGTATAGATCAGATTACCATCGTTCCTTAGTTATACGCTGTCAGCGTAAAAATAGCACACGTGAGATTACCATTATATTTTCAATTACAATAAATTCCAATCACGTAAGACAAATTGAAGATATTTATTAATTATTACACAGTACCCTAGCGTTAACCTGCGACTTCATCCACGCGACCGTGTTATGTTCACTGTCTGGGATAAAAGGTAACTTATGTCCTCTTCATCCCATATAGTACCACACTGGTGGTGATATTTGTTACCCAATAGGAATTACTTTACCCAAATAAATGTCGTCAGAGATAGAGGGAACAGTTTCAGGCCTGTTAATACAATAGGTGTTTTAGCGCGTTCCATAAAAATTTTCAAACTCTTCTTAAATTTTTCGGATCTTGGTATCCATTCGCTGTTATATGCTGCATCTACTAATTTTTCACTCTGAAAATAAATTTAACGTTTAATGTTTATTCTTGTTTTTTTGTTATTTAGAATAAAAAAAAATCATTTAATATTAATAGAAAAAGCTTCATTTTTTTTAACATTCTATAGGATGAAATTATTAGAAGTCTTTAATTATGAATAAATAGTTGATGAATAAATAGTTATATAATTGTTATCTAATGAAAAAGGAATAAAAATCGATCATAGTTGTTGCGAACTCCTTAGTTATTTTTAAAGGTTTTTATTTTTATTGTATTTTTATACTTTTGTTTCTACAATTGTCACTTTTGCTCTTTGCTGTCGTAGTCTATCTTTCGTAGTTTTCTTTATTATAGTTATTTTCCTTTTAAACCCATTGTTTGATTACATCATATACATCAATATACAGTCCATAATATCGCCCACAATAGTAAAAAAAACAGTTACGTACTTTAAAAATAATCTATTAACATACGTACCTGATAAGAGATTTGTGTTCCCAAAAAACTAGGAATAAAAATTTCACTTAACATTCCCACGACATAAGAGACCATAAACATCGTTGACTCCTTAATCGATGGCTGTAATGCAATCAACATTATCATATCTTTAACTGTCCACTGCTGTACATAGGCCAATCCCTTAGTAGATTTTGACAGTATTTGCCACGCTTGGCAAGCAGATTGGCAACCGCAGTTAAGCTTTAGAGATGTTTTAAGTGGAACACTGCTGCCCATCCCTCGCCCTACCTTAGTCGCCTCTTATGTCACCACGGGAAAAGAAGGGAGAGATAACTAAGGAAACTTAATGGTCGAGAGAAGGGGAGAAGCGTTCCTCTTAAAACATTATCAAACCAATTACGGTTACCAACTCGCCTGCGTTAGATATTTATTTCAAATCAAATTAATTTTCTTAAACATCTTATGTCAAAATGTGTACCTACTATTAATAAAAATCAGACTAATTTCTTTAAATATAATAAAATATTAAAATTGTTATTATACCAAATTTTGTAATGAATTATATTATATGAAATATAACATCACAGCAAATTCTTTATTGTAAAAACCAATATGAACTAATTTTAGTTTATCATAAACTTTTTAATAATGGTAATTTTTTTAATACCATTGAGGTGGCAAACAAGCATACGGTCCATCTGATGGTAATTAAGTTAAGAAATAAGTTTAGAGAAATGGCACCTCGGTATTGGCTTCATTACTCATCCTAATAATGAAGCGTTCGTGATTATCTGATCATTCCAAAGGTTGACTAGTAGAGAATGCTACTAGCTACTACTACTAAAGGCGTACTTTTTTTTTTATACGACTTAGAATGGCAAACAAGCTGACGGCCCACCTGATGGAAAGTGGTAACCGTCACCTATAGACATAAACAGTACCATGGACATAACAGAGTATACTGTTTCACCCATGATACCTCCCATGCGTTGCCATTCCTAAGGACTCAGATGTTATTACTCTGTACCCAGTAAATTCACGCCATATTCCATCCTTCAAACCGAAATACAGCCATGCAAACACAACTGCTTCACGGTTGAAACACGAATGGAACAGAGGTACCCAAGCAATCGACTTTTGTACAAAGTCTCCCTCTGGTAAATGGTAAACTTGCGCCTTTAGTACCATTTTCATTTGGTCAATAAATTTATTTCAAATAATAAATATTACATATTAACTATCTGATTAAACTTTACGATGATTATAACATATCTTAATGTTATAAAAATTGTCTCACCAATAATAGTCCATATAATGTCACACATATGATTATTGACCCCATTCCAAATTGTACAAACAAGACTACATCCGACATATCTTGAAAACTCGTACAATATCTGTAAAATATAAGTCATATAAATTATAGTATTAGGCTTAGAATAGACCATCCCTCCCTTTCCTGTGGATGCCGTAAGAAGCAACTAAAGAAATATAATGATCAAGAGATGACCAGCATCTCTAAAACCCTGACCCCGGTTATCAACCTGCCTGCCAAGCGTGGCAACTACTAGTAAAACTCCCCTTATGGGAATAGGCTTATGCTCAGCTGTAGACAGTTAACGGCTGAAATGATGATAAATTATTAAGTCTAAAGCGAATTTATATATATTAATTTTAGCCCTTCGACTCTACGAATAACACAGCTCGTCCCGTATCAAATTAGTATAAAAAGCTCTAAATTTTCTTCTTTCTTTCTTCAAAAAAAAATGTTCAGTTTTATGGACAATAAAGACCTTTTATCAGTGAACAACATAAGGTTACATATTAATTTTGATTAAATTAGAGATCCCTATGAAAAAGCTAATATAAAATACTAATTTGTCTTTCTATCTATTCACCCACGCAAAGCTGAAGTAGATCGCTAGTAAGTTTTATTAAATTATTTAAAAAAAAAACAATACCTTAGAAGGATGTCATAATGTCGCAGACATGCATTCAGTTTCACGATTTGTGCATTTTCCAGTTCTTTTCTATCCTCTTTGGAGCTGGCATTCCCTTTCAAGTTTGTTAGTTTATAATTAAGTACTTTCATTTGAGTGATTGCTATTAACATTAAACCAGCAATAAATGAATCTATATTCACATTGTACATCATATGGCCATATTTTCCAAATGATTGATAAATATGCAAATATTTGAAATACTTATGTCGGAATTCATCGGGAAGGAAATAGTATTTACAAATAGGTAGTTCCAATTTTTTTTTCCAAATAAGACTCGCTATCAATGGTAAAATTACTAAAGTTGAATATCCAAAGTTGCCTAAAATCGCATATGTTACCCAACCTCTTTTGTAGATTGCATTGTCTTTTTTAATAATACTCTTAGTTTCAGGATCATCGCCTTTGAATTCATCGCAGTCTATGAGATCCAAAATCGCTTTTACCTTGCTTCGATACACAAACATCATCAGGACTTTAGCTGCTATAGTTACTTCAGTAAAGTAAAACAGCATTTCTGGAATAAGTAACTCAACTTTTCTTGGTGTATGAATCAAATTTATCGAGAGTAAAATGTTGTAAATAATGAAGTTGATCGTAATATAAATAAAGGAAAAGTATTTGTAATATTTGTATGGTATGTTCCCGGGCCATAGAGCGAAAAATGTCCAAAAAAATTTATTAAACTTGAAAATGTCCGACTGTTTCGTAGACATCTTGAAAGTAAATGTAAAATTAAGCAAATGCTCCTATTTATTGTGTTTGTTTAATAAATAATGCAACAGTGTGTTGTTTGTTATAATGTGTCAAGCAAGAATAAATTAAATTCTACTTTCAATACACTATACATTATAAAACGTTTTCGTTTTTAATAATTCATATAGTAATAACTCTATTTCACCTATAAAAGTGGATAATATGCCAATTATTAATTAACTGTAGAATTGTTAATAGTTTTATTATATTTGCTAATGAATTTTTTATAAGTTGACAGTATTAATTTGCGAAAAGGCTGAAGAAAATTATATTCATAAATTATGTAAATGTGCAGAGTGAAATCAACCAGAGGGTGTTCTATAGGTAAGAATTAATATTACTTCCCAAAAATTGGTTAAAAATGACAAAAAATTTTGTCTTCCATACTAAACTTAATAAGTAGTCCTAAAACATCTAATGAAGTGATGTATAGAATAAACACCATATAGAAAACATAAATACAATCTTGCAAAATAAATTAACTTTGTGACAATCTTTACTTAGATATTTCCTACTTACCTTATCAGCCATTAAGTGTCCCCTGCTGAACATAGGCCTCTCCCTAATCGGGGATTTTGCCAGTAGCTGTCAAAATTGGAATGTGGGTTGGCAACGGTAGGTTAGACTTTGGTAATGTTTTAAGAGGAACACTGCTGCTTATCCCTTGACTATAAAGCTCCTTTAGTCGCCTCCTACGACATCCACGAGAAAGATTTTTTTCTTACCTAATCACACTTACATGGCTGAATAGATTTTATCATTATATTAGCCACAACTCACAATTAGCACAATCCTTAATATTATCCAACTAATCGTAGTAATTGTAAAAGTTTTTGAGAGATGTGTGAATGTATGTTTGTTACTATTTTTCGTAAAAACTACAGAATTAACTTGAATGAAACTAAAGTTCCAAATATACTAAAGTACCTACATGTATAAGTAGGACTCGCAGAGTAGAACAACCCCCCACTAGATTAAGGGACGACCTTAAATACATTGCAGGGTACAATGATTGCAGGTCAGGACCGTTCTTTATGGCAGTGGGGAAGGCCTATGATCAGCAGTGGACGGATAATGGTTGAGATGATGATGAAATGAATAAGTTATGCAGTAGCTTATATACTTCTTTTTTTTTTATTTATTTTGTTATTGGTTTAACGATTTAACCAATCGTAATAAAATTTGATATATGCGTACTATTCGACATGGAGAAAGACATAGGTTACTTTTTATTCCTGTCAATAGACATATTAATTTCCGTGGGTGTCGTAAGAAGAAACTAAGGGAGGGCTAAGGATGGGCAGCAGCATCCCTCTTAAAACATCTTCAAAACTTAACTGCGGTTACCAACCCGCCTGCCAAGCATGGCAACTACTGGCAAAACCCCCTTAGGGGGAGGCTTATGTTCAGCAGTGGACAGTTAAAAGCTGATATGATGATTATGATGACATACATAAACCACCCGCGCTCACGTACAAATAAGTTTGCCAACTCTTACGTGAACTGTATCGTAACTATGAGGAATGGACTTTCCCGTGACGTGTTTCCTTCGTCCCAAAACCTCGGATCCTTTAAACGTAGCTTGAAAAGGCACTTAAAGTACCGGCATAGTGGAACTAACTGTTGAGAGTGGAACATTCTCTTTTCGGTTGATCGTATTCACGGATGTCGTCCTTGTGTTCGCTCAAGATAGTGTGGTCACATATCGTGCTATAGTACAAAAGAATGTCCAAACAAATGACAAAGTCGTAAGCTTCTAAAGCAAAAATCGTAGCTTCTGAATTCTCAGATTGTTACAATCAAACTGTATAGCAGTTTATACGGGTATACTATCAGTTTTTTACCGAACTAGGTGTTATTTTGCGGAAGTCCATATCACTGCTTATTTGATTAAAATAATTTTGTTTAATTCTGCTACCATTAGTATGTGTGTGACTGCTAACACTCGAAGATTGACCACCACTATTACTACCAGAAATTCCACAAACTTCCATCAATCTCGGACTGCCATTTTGTTCGTGCCCGTTTTGCGACATGTGTTTCACCTCTAAACGAGGCATCTTCAGGCAAATTGTTATTTACTGTTAGGACATCGGACGGTTAACATTAGATTCCGAGCAGCTAATTATTTACATTTAAACAAAATAATTAAATACTATATTTAGTTGAAAAGTAGCTGAATCGTCGAAAACGATAGGATTTTTTTCATATCTTACACTTCTAAGCCAGGTTAAAGTAAGAAATGGTACCAACAGTATAGGTGAATTACGTGACTCGTAATTTCACAAAAAAAAAAACGGCGCACGTCTAGGAGAACTATTTGGCAATTTGTCTACAAACATTGTAAACAGTGTTTCTCAAAGAACAGGAAAAATGTGTGAAGTTTTTATTCATTTGTCGACTCTTTCTGTAGTGAATAAATTACACTAGACTTGTCCACAATCCTATTAAAATCCTAGTTGAAGCCAAAAAACACAAGTCATATAGAGTTACAGTACTCAGATTTTTTTCAACACCTATTAACAAGTAAAACATTTAAATTTATTTTAAAAACTTTAAAAAAAGAAGGACTTTATCAATTGAGTTGTATTTTTAATGTTTGTTACCTTAGAACTCCGTCATTCATAAACACATTTGAAAAATGCTTTTTATTTTTTAAAGGATTTAAATTAATTCCTCAGAAATTTTATTCAAATTCAACTAATAGTCAGGTTTTTGAGTCAAAATTATTGGTTTTGCAGCGATTAAAGTCAGTGTTTTTTGGAGAGAAAAATCTACTTGTAACTAGTATAAAACCAAATCGCTTTCCGCGTCTGTCTGTTTCACAGATTAGAGACACTATGATCTGTTTCTCCGCTAAGGTACTACTTCTAAACTACCAATTTGGTCGGCTCCATACTATAATGCCAGTCTGCTATAATAATGTTTGAAGTTCGCTCTCAATCTGGTAAAATATTATTACGTAAGAAACGAGGTCAGTTCTGAGGCGTCATTAGTATAAACCTACATTTAAACCTAAACTTTTAAATAATTTCCTAAAGTTACTATTTTATGGACCATCTTAAACTACAATTATAATAATTTTGACATAAATCTATAAGAAAATAAGTTCACATTGGTCCTTACAATAAATTTAATTAACATTGTAATTTTTGAGATAGCCTATTATGCCTAGATAGGAGAAATTATGCCTCGAAATCGAACCCATTCTGTGTATTCATACTACAATCCAGTCCCGTTCCAGTTCAGTTATGATCAATCTTGGACTGTTTCTAATGAACATACCCACAGCGGACTGAGAGCAAATTGAGAGTGGTTTATAGTGGAGGTCCAGTGTTACGGTAGAGATTTAATTCTTATTTAGAAAATCTTATGGAAGGTTTGTATGCACAATTTGCAGTCACACAGAGCTAAAGCGATTCGCTAATTTATATATCGCTAGCTATAAGAGGAAAGATTTTATAACCTATAATTACATCAATTAAAAATCCACTTTAAATTCATTAGTCATTAATTATATCACAAGAAATTTTTCCGCTTCTCTTATCTTATTAGCTGCCCATGATCTAGTATTATAAATATGGAAGAGAATTTATTTGTCTATTACATAAAATAATAAATGACATTATCCACGCAAATAATGTTTGCTCGTGGGCACACGTGGTTTCAATGGCTCGGTAAATGAAACTGAAAATTATTGAATTCGCCTTCTGATTTATTCCTTGTAAACACACTGACATGTGTTCTGTTTGAACAATATCAAATGAATTATATCTTTATAATTTACTGAATAACTGAAATATAATCGCAGAGACACGCTTGCTTATCCAAGAGTCGAAGGGAAAAAAGAATCGACGACAAACGTAATTAGATTTTTTATAAGACACTGAGGTCCTGCCCATTAAAAAGTTGTGATTAATTAATTAAATATAAAAACTAGATTTAGACATGTTGAAGCATATAATATTGCGTAAACAGATAAAGGTAAATACATTATACCTCAATAATTGAACGTAGCCTGATCACGAGGACAAAATCGTGGGTTATAAAAAAAATATTTTCATTAGACATAATATAAATGTTTGTATATACCAAAATCACATTGACAAACGTCTTTGGAAACCTCCGACCTGCCAAAAACGAACAGCCCTTCAGTTTCTTGACACGTGGAATATTAAATGAACACCAATACTGAATATTTTTGCTTCTCTAAATTGTATGTACATACCTGAGTACTCGAAAAATCTGTTTTCGTTTACAAAACACTCGTTGTAGTAAACGAATTACAGAAATGTCAGTTTACATGAAAATATCTTCTTATAAATAGACTGTAACCTTCGAAATAATAATGTCCTTATATAAAATCGATGAATAGTCAATTGCACTGTAGTCCCGGCATAGAATAGGCCATCCTTTTCTTTTCAGTGGGTGTCGTAAGAGGCGACTAAAGAAACTTAGTACTTAGGAAGTAATGTGTATTTGTATACATCATCGTAACTATAAATTAATAAAAATTTATGTAATATTCTTTTTTTATCTTTTTATAATTTGTTTATTTTCACCATGTAAACCGAATTTACAAAGTATACGAAAAACCACAGATCTTGCATGCCATAAATTCTGTTTACTACAAAATGTAGACAAAATATATTATATAATATGTATTTGGAGTCGTGATTCCGAGCTGCCATCAATATTGAGTAATTTCAAAAGAATTCCGCACAAAACACGAAGGCATTAAAACCTAATAAATTTGAATGAATTTTTTTTTTACGTAAACGCAACGAGCATAGACAAAATTTTCGGCACCTATGAGACCAGAAGTTCAAACGCGAAATCTTCACAGAAAGTATTATTGAATAAATGTATGGTGTTGAATGTCTTTTTAAATGTTATAAGTAGATTATGGTACCTTTTTGAAATTTAGATTACCTTGTACCTGTTGCCATAAAAAATATGTAGGTACAATCTTCATAAC